TTGTATACATAGTAACTCCATGTAGTTACTAACTTTAAAACTACTAATAAAGATATGAGCAAGGCCTCACCTTAATATCAAAAAAAAAAAACATATAGTAATTATCTGCTTTCTGGCTTCGAGCAAGAATTGTAAGAAGGCAGAATAAGAGCATGTTCAGATGCTCTAATTTTCTCTATTTCAGAACTAGTTCTCTTATACAAATCCAAGACATCTTCAGAGGATTTGGTAGATGAAATAATTTTTTTTGTTCCAGGCATTAGTTGATTCTAAGTAATAGTTGCCTCAGAAGTGCTAGCAGACTTGGTATGATCCCCTTGGGACTGTTTTTTTCCTTTACTCTTTTTTGTCTTACTATCTGCACTTTCTTCTGAAACTGGATTAGTATATTTGCTAATTTTTTTATTATGTATCTTGTTTTTCAGTGCTGTAGATGCAGAATCCAATTTATTTTGAAAATCTCTTTCAGCTTGGTGCTCCTCATTCTGTTTATCTATAACATTTGTGCTTGGAGTAACTGTTAAACCATTTCATTGAATCCTATTAAACTCTTGTTCTCTCCAAATTTGATATAAATGACTATTTGATATTTTATATTTTTTACTTAGCTGAGCTAAAGGTTTAGACTTCATATCCCAGTACTGCATGATAACTTTGTAATCTGCAGAAGACAAATAACTAGCTCTGGAATTAATATGTCTATTAAGTAAGGATTTGTTCATATTAATAGCTAATCGCTAAGTGATTTTTTTTATATTACAAATAAAAAATATATAAAAAATATTGATACTATAGTAATATCAGTATTATGGTAGTATCAGTATTATGGTAGTATCAGTAGTATTAGTATTAGTAAACAGTAGTATCAGTACTATGCTAGTAATATTAATGGTAATATAGATATTATAAATAGTATTGTAGTATCAGTAGTATTTATAAAAAAATAAAGTACTTTTAAAATTTCTGAGATAGGGCTGTCTTGGAAATCGCCAAAAAAAAAAAAATAAATCATATTTTTTTTCCTGCTTTGTAACTATGCCAAGATTATGTCCAATGTGTATACATTAAACAATATAAAAGATAGAGAAGATCCTAAAAGGGTCGGGTATCGGCTGAGTAGTATCCGCGAATTAGAACTTGAGAATGCATTGCATAGTAGTATCAAATCTGCTTCTGATCTTGCTAATGAATATAAAGACCTGCAAGGTGTATATTTAAAGCAAGAAAAGGAACTTGAGCTAGTTTAAGCTAATACTAGAAAAAAGATTAGCCAACTAAATGCATCCAATACTAGGCTTAGATCTTCTGAACAGGCATTTCATACTGAAATCCAATCACTTAAATCTGAGATTAAAACACTAAAAAGAAAAGTGACCCTTGCCCAGAAAGCTTCGTCCCTTGACAAGAATGAGATTCTTTGTCTTAAAACTGAAATAGATAACCTGAAAGCCGAAGTAAAAGAATTGGAATCAGAGATGAAATTAGAATGCACATTTCATGATTCAGATACCACTTCATTTAGGGATAAAATAAGTGAATTAAATTCTCTTAATCATATATTGGAGCAGGAAAGGGATGATTTAAATTTAAAGAAACATGAATTGGTAGCCAAGATAGGGTGTAAGGATTCTGAAATCATCTCTCTTGAAGCTAAAGTAGATGAGCTAGAGAAAGTAAAAAGAGGTCTAATATGTAGATATGGGTTAATTAGCTGTCTCAGGTCTAGAGTGAGAGAATTAGAAGATTAGTTAGAACAACAAATATCCCAGTCATTCCACAAACTGAACATAATAGGTAAAGCTAAAGCAGATCCAGACTCAGCTGAGAACTCTTAGGAAAAAGAGTCCCTTTCTCAAGAAACTAATATTTATTTAGCAGAGCAGATTTCAGAAGCATCCAGTGAGTTTAATGAAATGATTGAAGGTGATAGCAGACTAGAGAAAGGTAATGAAATCACTAGCCCCGAAATAACCTCAGTATTACGCAATTCCTTCTTTTAGCAGAATGCAGTCATCATCATAATAATAATATTACTAATCATATACTTCCTATAGCACATATCCTCTTATATATATTTTTTTATTTTACTTCTCAATAAAGAAAAAAATATTCTGAATTATAAAATACCCTTAGATAGAAATCAGAGTTATGAATTCCCAATCTGTCATACAAAAGAACCAAAAAAAAGAACTACCACCTATGAAACTCTACCTTTTGGATATGAACGAGGCCACAAAGCATGAATTATTCTGAAATGTTGGACATCCAGCGATGTTATGGCCTTTTAGCATGATAATCAGTGAAAGAAGTAGTACAGGTAAGACCAATTTACTAGCAAACCTTGTTCTTGGAAATAAATGTGAGCATATATATAAAAGACAAAAAGGAGGATCCAGATATATTAGATGTGATAATTTGATAGTTTGCAGTTACTATCCTGATAAGCTAAAATGAGCATTCGTCAGATATATGTATGGAAAAATAGCAAATAATTCCAAAATACCCTATTACGAGAACATTAGATTCAGCTACATATCACCAAAATAAATTCCTAGTATAAAATCATTTTTACCTGAGAGGAGCACTATAATCATTTTTGAGGATGTATATGTTGCTTTTGAATTTATCCAAAATCGAATAATTCTATTTTTTACACATGGGCGACATTGAAATATTTCTTCATGCTATATTACTCAGAAATACCATCATGTACCAATTATTATTCGTGAAAACATCTCCCTTTTAGTAATATATAATGGGGAAAGCAGTTATCAAGATGTCTTCAAGATAGCTGATCGATATACTGATGATGTAAAGGGTGCATCTATGGTTATTGACAGCTACCTCCGCAAAGGTGAATTTGTTGTATTTGATCTTAGCAGGTCAGAGGATGATCTGCTCGCAATTCGACTAAGGTTTGATACTTTATTAAACCTGCAGAAAGAGATAGAGGTGAGGCAGAAGCACAAGGAAAAAAGTGTCTTACCTAATGAATAGAATTAGTCAAATTGTAGATCAAAGCATCAGAGCCAAGATGATTTGTTTGTTCACAAACTTCCAAAGTGCTTAATTATATTACTGACCATAGATGAGAAAATCATAAGTAAATATACACTTCATAGATTTTTATTTCACATCAACAGTGGACAACTATAAAAAAATAAATTATTATAATAAATACGTAATATCTATTTTGATATTGAATCCATGGTCCGGAAAATTCAGTGCACATACTCACAATTATTGTTTGAATCTGAGAAATCTATGTTAATTTCTTCTCCTAGGATATAAAGATATTTAGTTTCGAAATAGCTGATTTTTAGCGAATCACATAGATATGATTTGCCTATCATTTTACAAAGGTATCGCCCATATTCTGAAATTCTAACAAAGTTTTCATTGCTATTGTTGGGGTATTTGACAATATGATAATATTCAGGATTTGATAGCCACTTTAACATATAAGTTTATTCTGAATATTTAATGATTCTATAGCTTTGTCGATATAATTCTATAAAAGCAACTATATATGATACAAGACATAATCGATTATTTAGCTATTTTTTTTTTCTTTCTATCCAGTTATCGGGAAGATAATATTCTTTATACTCTTCTGATAATAGATAATTATATCCTTCATTTATCATAGCAATAATTTTAGCATTACATAAATTATGTTGTTGATGAGTATAAGAATTTTTTATTTTTCGAAGAATAACATCTAAAAATTTCTTATCATCAGGAATATCATCATTCCTCACCATATTCCAAATTCATTTCGCCTATGTTTCAGGTCTCAACTTGTAATCTCTCCAAGCCTGTTGGATAATTTTTGCACTATTAAATAAGGAATAAGCAATTTTCTCCCTAAATTCATTCTCTATATTATATACATGATAACCACACTGTGAATATATAGAATAATTCATAAAAATCTCATTAACCTCATCAGAACTAAGTGATAATACACTTCTTTCTCCTTTTTTCTGAAAAGGATTAGAATGTACGAAATGCCTTTTAGCTATTTTAGCAATGCATTCATTCAGGTGATGATTGGCACATTCGATAGTATTTTCACGGATAAATACCAAGGTGTCGTATACAGTGCAATAAATATAAAATGAATGCTTCTCAACCGTAAATTCTCTATTTCTAGATCTTTCAGTCAAATAGATAAATCTATTCTTGGAGAAGTATTTTGAGTTATTTTCTAGAAGTGTTCTAAATGGATAACGAATACATGAAAACTACATTTTAGGCATTTCATTACTATACCTATATTGCAGATTGATTAATGCCTGTGATACGGCAGGATTCAAACCATTATAGTAGTTAGTTTTAACCATTTTGTGGGTATAGTAATAATATAGCAATTTTCACTAATTTTATTAATTTAGCAATTTCAATGACTTATAGCGGTTTGTAACAAGTATATGATAATAAAATATCAAATTCATTTTTATTCGAAACTGGAAGATATGCTGTATATGCATATTTACATAGAAGAGAAGGGGCATATACTTCATAGATTTTTATTTCATATCGACACTTTTCTACCTGTATCAGAATTAGATAAAAAATATTAATATAAAAAATATATCACTCATATAGCATTAAGAAAACAGTGGACAACTACCTATGTCTGTATTAAAAATTAATTTTATTTATGTTTATATATTTTTTTTTCTGATGGATACATTTAATCACTCTCTGTGGTGTGGTTTGGTTGTTTAGGAAGTCTGCATCACCTTTCTCCTTATACACACCCCACATTGAGGATGACGATCACACCTAGGGCAAAAAAAAAAAAGGTATATCTATTTATTTAGATTTTGAGATGGATACATTCAAACTATTTCTTATCTTGTAGTTCAGTAGACTAAATCGCAGGAAGCTCGTTCGGTCTTCCTCTTCTTACTACATAGACAATGATAGTTGACGATCATGTCCTCAAAGCAGTGTTTTTATAAGAGTAGAATAAAAAAATAAATTTTAGAGAGGAAACAGTCGGATCCTAGGCCTATCTCGAAAGGTTATAACTGCACCTAAAAAGACTATATTATTAAAGGATAACTAGCATATTTTTGCAGAACAGACGATCACTTTTGCCAAAGTACTGGGCCACCAAATAGTAATTATGAGCATGTTCGATCTCACAACATACATAGTCAGAAGCCCTATCATTCAACTGTAAAAATGAAATTTTTTGTATGACTAAGTATACCTGCACAAATAATTCTGGCAATTATCTTATCAACACAAAAAACAACCTAGTGTGAGAAGGTGAAATATCGATAAAAAAATCAAAAATTGAAAGATTTATATAAAAGAGATACTATTGTCTTATACATCACAAAACAATAATTAACCAGAGCATATTGTTTACTAAATTCAGCATCACAATTATTGGACATGGGGTACAGTAATAATTTTACATTCTATATATTAATATTTAAGCCTGATTTACAAATTTAGAATAACCATTATACACTTTGTTATTTATGCATTATAATGAAAATATCAAAGCATGTTGATCAAACATCTAGCATTGCATTTGTTACTCTGTAAATACATAAATACTGAAATAAGTACCACCTAATAGTAATCTAATTTTTATTATTAATAGAAGCTCATGGCTGTCAAATCGAGAGACTTATCTCGGCACTGATCTATGCTGAAATGAATCGAGTACACAAAATTTATACATTTGTTCCAAAAAAAATAAAGTATTATCACATGACTTAACAGCCCCATGGGTCTGTATATATGTTTTTAAAATAACGATCATGAGATATTCAGATTATGATAGCTAATAAATTAGCTATTTTTTATTACTATTATATGTCTCAACAGCACTTCAATAGTGCTTTGACAGCACTTCGACAGTGGCTTAGATAATTTTATATTTGTTTATTATAAAAAAGCCATCAGCAGTTCAACAGTAGCTTAACAGCAGTTATCTAGAATCTATATTTTAATGAAATTTTAATAAATATATGTGTATGCTATTTTAACACAACTACGTAGCGGTAATTTGATTTCATGGGTGTTAGATCATTTCAAATTTATTCTGTTATGCTATCATATGACTTAACGGTCCCATGGGTCTGCACAAATTCTTATCGCATAAATTTTGTATCTCTGACAGCCTCCAGAGGCTGTCAGAGTATAGTTAACTAATAGTTAACTAATATCTTTATATTTTTACGATAATAATGATAGGGATCAGGTTTATGTGTGATAAAACCTTTGCCTGGCTTTAATAATCAATGGCCTACATTAAATTTTATGTGATGTCACTCTCCTGCAGAATTATTTCTCATAGTCGATTTTTGATTAATAACTATGTGCTCTAGAACTTTTTTCTTACCTTATATAAGATCCCGCGATAAGAATGAGACTTAAAAAGGCTATAAGGGCAATGAGTACAACATTCTTAATCAGTAGTTTTATTAAAATTCATATGTTACAGGGACTTCAAATCTCCACCATCTCCAAGATTGTCAGATCTAAACCTACTTTAAATGATCATCGATTATAAGGAGGTTAATTTTACTGAAAAAATGACAAAATAGATTCAATATATAGTGCTTATGGCCGAATAGATTTGCTTTATAGAGAAAAAACTGGCGTTGGATTTGGGTAACACAATTACTAATCATGTAAATTTTTTTCTAGCAAGTTTTTTAGATCTAGCGAATGGATAGTATAAAAATAAGCAAGTCCTCATCTATAAGGTAAGTTAGCAATAACGTTATTTTTTGCTCATATATATTTTTTGAAAAAAAGTTTAACATAAGTTATCAGCAATTTAGTTCTAAGGTAATGTTTTTTTTAGCAGAGCTGGTCAGAAAACACTATCACAAGTTCATGTATTAATAGCCTTGTTTTTATTAACAGTCATGATGTTCACAAATATTTTCTCATATAAGGCAGGAGAGACAAGAGTCTTTGATACTAGTCGTGATAACATCTAAGTAAAGGTTGAAGAGTTAAATAAAGATGTCGCAAGAGTTATTCTTGTAAATGAAAATGAAAATCCAATTGACACTATAGAGAAAGCGAAATTTACAAATAAGAAGACTAAAAATGAAATAACATCTGTGGAAGTTATGGGTCAAAAAAGCTATCTTATAACTTGAATAAATAGCTATGAGTTGCATGTAGATAATCATAAAATTTTTAAATTTAAAGCACAGAGAGGGCATATGCAAATAGAAAAAAATCTTGCAAATTGTCTTGGAAAAGATCATTAAACTTTTTTTTTTATTTGTATTCGCATCTGTAATAGCGATATATATATTTTTTATTCATATATTGTCATCCTGGCAATATAATTTTTTATAATAATAAAGAGATGAGGGTCTGCTGGGCTCCCAATTTTTTATTTTATGCGATTGTGTATTATTAATATCTAGTTAATTTCTTTTTGACTTACGCTTTCACATAGATAACGAGATGATCAGCCAAACAAATTTCGGATTTTTTTCTTTAGCTGGATAAGCATAACAGGAATTCAGGAAATGATTACGAATAAAATGCATATGCAAAAAATATATTATTCTGATGGTAGAGCCTGGACAAGCTTGTCCAGTTAAATTTATCTTCTGAAGCCTATATTTTTCTGTTGGACACGCATACAAGCTCAGATTAAATTTATCTCCCGAAATAGCTGGCCATTAAGGCACTTCGTAAGTCATTGTACATATGACTATCTTATGGTAGAGTCTGAACATGATCTCCGGGCTCAGGCAAATTATTTTACATGATGTTTGGTGATCAGTTATACATATCCAAAAAATAAAGCCTGATATGGTGGGAAATGCAAATGCTTTATTATATGTTTGAGAATACACGTGAACGAAATTCTGTTTTTTCTGATGGTAGAGTCTGGCCACAGTGTCCAGGCTTGACTTAATTGCGCAGAAGAAATGAATCAGTATATTAACAAACCTTTTGTTTTAAGATTTTGACCATTACATAATCTTTTTCATCCTTAGTTAGGCCTCTCTTTCATGTAATTTATAAATCACATGCGCATTACAATTTGTAATGCAGGTTACTTGCCAAAAAAAATTTTTGCATTACATACATGAAATCTATTTTGTATTTTTTACAAAATAAGAAACCTAAAGCTTCATTAAACTTGCTAATCATTTCTTGACATATATTAATCTGATAACTAAATATTTTGGTTTTCTTCTCTAATTATATAGCAATGAGAATTAAAAAAGCCTTGGAAACAAAAAAAAGTACTTCTGAGAAAATTAATCATAACAAATCACTATAATAACATTTAAAAATTTATGTTTTATAATTATTGGTTTTTGTAGTTTTTTCAATCAAGCTAACAACTGGAATTATCATACTTCTACATGCCTTCAGTATGATTGTTGGTTCACAGGAAAAGCTATTATGGCAAGAAATATTGTCAGATAATTTCTTGTTATTTTTACTAGAATAAAAACTATCAATCTGACACTAGATAGCAAACAAAAAAAGAATAAGTATATAGAAACTCAAATTTTTTGACATTATTAAAAAGAGATTTATCTTGAAATAAAATGTTTCTATAATTAACTTTCTTACAAGGTTAAACTTAAAAAGTTTCTGAGTGAGTTTAATTTTGGAGAGTTGAAAGTATCGGTAAATCCATCATACTCTAGATCCATCATTCCCAAATAGATGTAACCTTCTATAATGTTTTAACAGAAAGTGAATTAGAAAAAACTAGAAACACAAAAAAAGTATAAAAAATAGATTTACCACAAATATGTCCTCCAAAGGACTTAAGTTTTGGTGTGTTTCCATGTGAATAAATTATTCTATTAATGCCCCTCTAATAAAGGATGGTTACTTTATAAAGATTGTAGCCTCCAATTTTGCTATTTCTCATGACTAATAAATGTTTGGCTTCTATGAAGCATGTTTTTCATATTCAACTTTATATGTTTCTTCCTTTTCGTCTTTTTTCATAACTTGATATATTGTAATGTTTGGTTTTCTGCCTTTGGAATGTTTGTAAGTCGCTCGATGCTCTTTTGAAGATAGACTTTTGGTGTTTGCCCTGTTAAATAAAGAACAAGTAAAGATAAAGAACAATATCAATGATTAAATACAAAAAATCTCAAAAAATTTTATTACCAAATAATCTCATAATTCGGATCACGGAACATTTCTTTAAAAATGTCATGTACATAGTCATGTACAAACATATTCTTGTTTTTGTTTCTTGAATCTGGATACATGTGCATCCTTTCAAAGCTTGAAGAAAAAGATCATATGATAGTTATTAAAAAGAAACAGCAAAAAAAATACAAGATTAAAATCCAAAAATCTTACAATACATGTACAACTGCTTGGATAGCTTCAAACAAACGCCTCTCATTAACCGAATAAATGACTATGTCACGATATTTCCCCCACATATCATAAAACTTGAAATGAAACTCATCTATATCATTTATCTCCTATTTTTGATTGCAAAAAGATATTAGATTATAATTATTACAGGTCCACATGTGCTAAACACATGACAATACCACTTTATATTCATCCATTATTTCTCCGAGAAAACTGGGTGGAGTTTGTTTCCTTGGCTGACGTATAGAAATACACCATTTTCATTCATCATCTATATCTAAGTACAAAGGTTTTTTCATTGTTGTTGAGTCAATAAACATAATATTGTGAAGAGACCTATAATAAAAAGAATTTGTTAGATAATCAGACATCCTTAGAATGTAAATCAATCATACTCAATTATACTTACAAAATTGCCTCACTGCTTGATGCAAAATTAAAAGTTTCGCCAGCTACTAGTTTGTTAATATTACTAATTTGATATTTGCGAAATCCGTTCAAAACATTGTAGTCCTCAATAAACTACTAAAAGGGCAAAGCAATGATCAATACAGAATTTTTTTTCCTGAAACTGATGCGGATCTGTGGTTAACTTACATCCTTCTGTGAAGAATAGTCACATAGATCCCGACATATTCTTAGATACCTGTCATGCATCATTTTTGTGTCAGTCATGATATCTCCATCCTACACATATAGATTAAATTAATCATTGGAAAGGCCAAAAAGAATATCTGTTTTAACGACTCATCATTTCTATAACTTGTTCATTTACCTTATTTACAATTATCGGGAGAATCGTTTCTGTGTCTTCTAGTTCCTGATTAGGAGGAAACAATGATAATTCTTCGTTATTATCATTACAGGTTGATTTCACTTCCATCTTATTGGCGGTACTAATTGTACAGATCTGTGAAAGGTGAGAAGACATTTTTTGTTGTGTGAAAAATACAACTATTTCATTTTCCGAAGTTTCTTGTACCACACACAAAGGAGAGATAACATTATTTTGATCTTCTATTATTGGCTTTTTGTTTTTTTCACTATAGTCATCAGATAAATCTTCTATTATTGGCTTTTCGTTTTCTTCACTATAGTCATCAGATAATTGAGGAACATCCCTTTCATAGTTGTCATCATTAAAAACTGAATCAGTTGCCAGTGAAGGTAATTCTTCCACTTCAGATAGGAATGGCGAGTACAATGATTCATAACGTGATCTAGACTGAATTAAAATTTGATATATCAGTTATTTTTAACCAATGCAAATCTGTTTGCTGAGTGTGATACTCCACACGTGAACTAGTGTGACTAAAGTTGTGTCGTTACCCTTTTTGTGGGTGGCGTCGATGTCACGACTGTCACATCATCCTCATCTTTTTGCTTTTTCTCTTTAGAAACTTCTATTAATTCTTCGTCTACCTTATCATTGTGCTATAAAGACACACAAGAGTTATTTCAATATTGATCTCAAAAACAGAGCAATAGTAACATGCAATGTCAATACGAATCATTGAATTCACGAAGGAAATCAACTAACCCTTTCTTGAACATCTGTCCCGCTTGACTTTGTTGGCACAGCCGGTGCAGTGATATATGCGCGGTATGCCTCCGCTTGCGCAGTAACATTCACCATATCCTATAAAAAATTACAACATAAGCATTGTTACGTATTATGTAACGTATTGTACCCATCAACATACTTTGAATATGTCTTTTAGTTCAGTTTTTTCCTGCAACGTCACTTTAGCGAAAAAATATTCTCTGCATTCATTTACCATTGCCTTGCCTGTGCACGTCTGAAATGACGAATATCAGTATACATGTCATAAAAGTCTAGGAAATAATAATCACATACCTCCAGCCATTTCAAATAGCTTTGAGCAAATGCTCGAACACAAACTGGAACAACGAGTAACACACAAATTTGATCCAAACTTTCAACAAACACTTTGAAGAGTTGTTCAAAATCCAGCCCAGTCTCCAACTTAGCAATATACTTGACAAAGGCACTTAGTGACCATTGTGAGGCAGAGACTCTCTTAAAAAATTCGTGAATGCAACGTGCATTCTTGTCTATCTGATACTTGAAGAATTTGGTTGCTTCTAGTCGTGGTTCTCTGATAATATCGGACATGGCAGTGTCAAGGATGAAAACGCGTTAGCACTAGGGATAGGGAAACGGAAACCGTTTAAGTCTATCGCGTTTTAATGTTGTACGAACTTTTGATTTTTATGGCCAACATGATAATCAGATGATCATCTATTACGAACTTGTATTTTGCCCACGCAACTTGCGCCTGTCAACCTGACGGCAAGTTGTGTCTGGAAGTGCAAGGGGAGATTATCATGCCTGTCAACCTGACGGTGAACGTTCTGCACGTAAAGGTAGGCCACCGTGTCCCGCGCCTGTCAACTTGACGGCGGAGCGGTGGATGTTTCTTTATATAATTGGTAATTTAGTAAATACGTTTTATCCTTTGACGAGAACAAACTCAACAAAATAACAAATGCATAAGCTATCGATCAACGCTTATATAAGCTGAGTCCCAGCATCAAGTTATTTCTTTGCTCTCACACTTTTCCGATAAATTTCTACTACTAATTTATTTCTATATCAATTGCTAATTACGAGATTCTCATAACAATACTCTCTTTCTACACTAGATTTCTGAAATAAATTATCACAGAATTTTTGTCTATCTATATCTCTCCCAAACACGCAGATTATGTAAAATAATATTCCCCGTAATGAAACTTCTCGGAGATTAAGTAATTTCGAATCTATGGATAAATTCGGAAGATTAGCAACTGAGGTAAAAAAACATTTCCGATCATTACTATTAATTTTCGCAACATTGCATTCCGCCTGAAATTTATTACTTAATGCATTACAATAAAGGTAATTCGATTTTTTTATTGCCGGTACGATACTGTGCCAAATATCAAGAATTCGGCACGTGAAGGTGTTTATATTGAAAATTTATTAGACACACTGCGCCAAATTTTGTTGAGAAGCGTGATGTTAAGGCATGTGATGGGATTCATGTGAATAGTTTCACTGCGTCTATTGTACGCGTGATTGTCAAAGATTTTCTCGGTGAAGATCAGAATGCCGATACATAGCAAGAGGAGTATATCCGTTTTATTTTGGAACATCTATAGAGGCAGGAAAATCGATTAACATCGTGATGACATGTCTCAAGAAGCTAACCGAGCAATAAAATCAACATATCTTATTATTGTTTTGCGGAATATAGGAGTTCGTTTGATCAAGGATATTAACGATGTAAATAATGGTATGCTAGATTGGTTTTGATTTTTTCATTTTACTTGCACAAGGCGGATAAAAGGATTCACTAACCAGGTCATCACCTTTTTATATAATTCACAAAATCGATTTTGTTATACGCTTTTGGGGAAATTACGTTAATATGATCGCATCACGAAAATCTGATCAACGGACTCTCCTTAATTTAACAATAAAAGAATTTAACGCTATCCATATGTAAAGATCATCAAGGGGCTATACATAATTTTGAGAATGCACGAGAAAGTTTGAGGATAAATTATTTTGCGCAATTACTTGTTCCCGTGATACATGTAATAATTACTATAATATTACTGCGCATTTATTTATCAAGCTACAATAAAACTTGATCGAAAAAATAATAGTATAAACTTGTTTCACACAATTCCACAACCCACTCCACGCAAAAAAAAATTATAAAATGTCTGGTAAATTTGCACCATTGCTTTATTGATTAAATTACTTGAGGACATTCACATCGCTTATAAATTTCTTCTGCAACCTTCTTACATCTCTTGCAATACAGATGTAAGTGATGATTGCATTCGTCACAAACCTTACACCCGTGCTTCCAACCTCTAAAGATATGCCACTTTTCGATATAGTTTCGACTTTTTTTATTAGTAAGTATATTATTCCGATTTTCTTTCATTTGTATATTAACAGAAAAAAATATATACGTATACGTGGCTAAAATTTTTTATTATAATGTGTGGCACTTTGTGGTTGTGCCCTGTCACAAATAAGATATGCATAATGATAAGGTGATACAGACATGTGGAATTATTCTACGTAACATATGTTAATGAATATTTTTGTTACGTGGGCAAATTATAGAAAATTATTTATAGCGATAGCGACCAAATCGTTTATTTTTATTTAACGTTAATTATTCGAGAATTTTCACATTCACTAGTTTTTTGCATGTTTTGCAATATAGATGTGAATGATGATTACATTCGTCACAAACCCCTATTTTCTCATAAATTTATCTCACAAGACGGCCAAATATCTGATAGTAGAGTCTGGACATGGTGTCCGGGCTCGTCAAAGTTGCGCAGAAAAATGAATTAATTACATGGCGCAGTAGACAGCAAATTAGTCATCGAAATCTTATTGGAATTACATAGCAAATTATTTTCTGGCAAAGTACATTATATTACATTTGGTAGTAATTACTAGAACACACTTTAAAATAAAACCCGATATGGGAAATGCTTTATTAATATATGTTTAAATACAATTTTTTCTGATGGTAGAGTCTGGACACGGTGTCCGAGCTCATCAAAATTATGCAGAAGAAATGGCGCAGTACATTATCAAACTTTCTTTTTTAAAATTTCAGTCATTACATAATCCTTTTCATTCTTAGTTAGATTTAAGATGAAACCTGGAGAGGTGGATTTTATCTGTGCTATTTTTTCTTTACCTATATTATTAAAAAGCTTATAAACCTTTTCAGATCTCTTTATCCTTTTTCACAAAGCTTCATCAGAACATTTTGCCTCAGGAATCACTTCTCTAACCTCATTCTTAACCAATGCTTGAGATCCATCTTTGCCATATTCAGGTTTTAATTCTTTGTATCATTTAAATACAGCTTTTCCAAAATCAAAATAGCTGAAAATAAGACCTCAGGATACATCTTCGTTTTTAGTTTCAGCATGATCAATCTTATCGGAGAGTTGCAAAAAAATATTGGTTATGCTTTTATTTGCTTTTTCCAAGTTTTTTCCAATAGTGAGAACAGATGTATTAGTTAATAATTCTTTGATAAGTTTTTTTAACATAGACGATACCTTCTTTCTATCAGTTTTTTTCGCCTTCTTGCTAGACAATTTTTCAGTAGATGTGGATAATTCTCTAGTATGTTTTTTCTGGGTAGCTTCATTAAATAAGAGTAATAATAGTGATACATTTATTGGTGAATTTAACCCAAGATTATTGCATAACATATTTGCAATAGCTGAAATTTCACTAGACTGAGATAATTCAGAAAACCTTCATTCAGATATTACTGGATCAACAATTTTGTCACAATCAGGAATAGGGCATTTGTTCTTTTTCATAAGTAAAAAATTTTTTTCAATACATTTTCTATAATACGCATAACTGCATAGAAGTATTGTAAATAATTCAAAGTTAACTGTTAAAATTTTTTTATTACATATTTTACATAGTGGCAATTCTGTAACTTCGATATTTTGTACCGCATCATATTTTATTTCTTTTAAAATATTAAGAGCGAAGTTTTGGAGATTAACAAGAGACATGATAATATTGGTGAAGCAAATACAGATAAGTTTCTTACAACAAACTTTTATTATACTTAGCTTATTTTATAATGTATCCTCCACAACTAAAAAAATTAGATACTAATTTCAGATTTGGCAATTTGTTCACCGAATTTGGGTGCATTTAACAATAGTGCTTTAAAGAAAATCTGACGATTACCAGTTAGGGTTTTATATCAAATTAATATGCAGTAATAAAGATGAAGTTATTACCAAGAAATATATTATTTATTGCTAAGATCATACAAGATTTGGAAGATCGTACGCATTTTTTTTTGCATAACTATGTTATTTTAAACCCCAATTTATACCTCATACAAATCTACCAATGATCCATAATGGAATTTTATTATGTAGAATGGATGATGCTATAGTGCCCATTACATTTCGTAGGATCAGATCTGTAAATCGCTGGCATAATTTCTATTCTTGTCTCATTCTAACATCAGAGACATTGGATTGACTTGCATAATACTAATTTAAAGATTCATAATAGGTGTAATATGCCGGAATGTTTTGAAAAAAAGTTGGTGGATTAATTATTCATTGATCTATTCCCCATAGATTTGCAAAAATACATAACCTGCTATATAACACAGGCAGTTAAATCATATGATCTCATTTGCGGGACAAGAAAAGCTAAATAACCTAAATTGAAGATAAGGTATTTTGGTATATTATCATTATGGAACAAACTTATTCTGACATTAGTACTGGTAATAAGATTGAAGTACACGAATTCTGGGAGGTTTTAGGATTATTAGATAATGAAGTCGTACCTATCAACATGGATAATGATAACAATAGTGAATTTGACATCGACGAAGAAGATAATAATAATAAAGATAGTAATGATGATTAGGACAATTATTGGGACTGGGATCCTAGTTAAAAATTTACCGAATGGAATTATAAAAGATGTTTTGGTAAAGATGCTTTGAAAAAGCTTTATCGAGACTAGAAAGCTTATTAACATTTTATTCTTCTTAGGCTATTTATCATGTGCCTTTCTAATTTATCTAAGCAAGCAAAAAATGAATTATTTGTTGCATTTTCTAAATCTAATTTATTTGGAGTATTAGAACACAATGTATTATTGGATGCTCAAGCTCATCTTGTGAAAGGTTTAAATCTTTTCGAATATGATGAACTTGGGTTTGATTTAATAAATAATGTGAAATTGTAACCAAGCTTCTGGTGTTTTTAGATTATTAATATAGTTTAAACTATATTCAGTCAACATGTATCGGGCATAATTATTTTTTCTCTATACTTTAAAAATATTTTGAATATTGTGCATATTTATATTTTGATTTTATTAACTAAGGCTTTTATTTAATAAATATAAGCTGGACCGATCAATTTACTAGCAATCATGAATAATTAGTAAAGAAAAGGGGAGTATATACTTCATAGATTTTTATTTCACTTCGACACTGCCAATTTATAAAAAAAAAAATATTAATATAAAAATATATCTCTCAATTGTGATCTCAGAATAGAATTAGGAAAATGGTAGACAATTTAAGTTTCACGTTTATGAGGACCCAGCGAAAATTTTCTAAACAAGTGCTCACTACCTGACCCTCCTTCTGATATTTATTTCTGAATTTCAGCTAACATTGCATCAATTTCAGCTAACATTGAATTCATTTTTATTGTTTAAAATGATGAAAAAGCCTGTATTTGAGGTTTTGAACTGTCGCTTGTCTCTGGTTCGGAGTTAGACTCTTCTGATTCGGTATTGCCTATAGCATAATTATCACCTGCATCAAGGTGGTCTGATTCTTGCCTCATTGCGATTCTCGAAAGCAGTTTAAGATGTTGAGGTGTTGGTTTCTTACCACTATGGATTCTGGAAGCGTGTTTACTTCCATAATCTCTTAATTTTTTAGGTGTAGTTCTATAAGATTCTTGTTTTAAGAATTCGTTAAATGGCCAGACATTACGTATTTCATTTTCTGTAAAGACAGGATCACGCAACTTTTTTGTCTTGATTGCATTTTGGATCCAGATGAGTAATTCTCTGGCACATTCTGGGCTCTTCTCCATGAAAAGAAATAGTCAAGGCTCAGAATTTTTTTTCTTTTCTCCTCTACTTTTTAAATAACTTGTGCAATACCAAGAATAGCCATCTTTGTATCATGCTGAAATGTTTGAAGGATCTGGTTCATAGTGATTAATTCGAAGAGACCTTACTTCTGCAAGTCTCATACTCAATATCACAATTACATCCGTGAGATCTTCTTTAGATGGAATTTTAGAACATCCATATTCTGAATCCTTTTAAGCACTCTTGCTAATAAGAAGTGTATTAGAATTCTATCCAGATTAGCTATTCATTTTTTAGTTTGTTTTTTCTGAATTTTATTAGACTCTTGAATAAGTTTTGGATCTTTGGCATAGGTATTAATAATTTTAGGACTTACCTCGCCTTCTGCTAATTTTACACGAAATTGCGACTGGCATGAACCACTGGTGACTATTTTATTTTCATTATTATTTTTTAGGCCTAAATCTAAATGATAGGCGAAAATGTCTATAGCATCGCTGATTTTAGTACAATATTTTGCCCTTTCCTCTATGGTGTATTTTTCTTTTCTCTTATCTGGTAAGAGAGCCTCTATCCGCTCTTCACTAAATGAGTGTCTGTTATCAGTACCTCTGGCAAGAGTGACTTTAACACACCTGCGAGCCATCCAATCAGAAAGTAATACATCAAGTTTGGAAGCATGTTTGTTTAATTGTTCTGAGGTAGAATCAGCCATTAGATTATGCTTTTCTAGAAACTGCTCTAAGACCAATACAAAGTTATTAACTTTAGGTTTTCGGGTCTTTGGAGAAGCTGTTTTAGTAGCCATGTCAGTAGTGAGTGTTATCTAGTTATATTAATTTAGTTATTTTTTAATTCGAAAAAAATAATTAATAGTTTGGGATCCAAACACCTCACTTATAAACTGGCTTCATATTCGCTCTTTACCAAAGCATACTATTTTTTTGGAGTATACTTATTGTTTTTTTTCATTCCTCATCAGTATTGAGCCATGAGGATATGATTCCTTTATTCTCAAGATCATGATGGATTATTTCTTCTTCTATCAATCTCTCTCACACTGACATGTCCATATATTCTTTAGGGTCTTTTTCCATCTCTTTTGCATAACCACACATTCGTGCATCCATTTCCATTTTATAATGAAATGCAGTAGAATCGAGCATGTCCTTTTCTGTGATAGTTACAAATATATCAGAATCTTCACCAAGTTCGATTGCCCTTTTTCTAAGGCGCTCTTCATGCTGGGCCCTGCTCATAAGTATGGTAAATGGTATTTCATTGATAGGCTTGAAAGAATCAGTTTCTTTAGAAGGTGTATCAGAGGGCACTACTCTATTTATAAGCTCAATAGGTTTGGGAAGCTTGCTAGTCTGGTCCTTTTGAGACCGCTCAATGATTTTTGGCTCAGGTAAGTTAGACATCTTAGAAATTTCAGAAGTCCCAGATGTTGAAGCAACTAGTGTTTCAGCTTCTTCTTCCACATAGTCGAATAGAGCTTGAGTTAGATTTTTCTGTTTATCTTCTTTCTTATCACTAGGAGAGAGATTCTTTTCTGCCTGAGGTGGGATTAATTTTGGAGGAATAAATTCTGGCATATTGAATATAGGCATGTCTGTAGTCTCATTTTCAGGTAAGTCAAATTAAGGTATATCAGAAAATTCTTCGATATCATCTAGGCCAGATTCACGAAACTTAGCTATGATTTTGGTGCGGTCAAGAATATACTGATATATTCTTACTCTATTATCTCGTGAACGTGCCCAATCAATGCTGATTTGTGAAAACTTCTTTCTAGCGACCTTACTAGTTAATAGCTTTTCTCCATTACAACTGCACCATTCAAAATAATCCTGGTATACTTTTTTACAGCTAAACCTGCTAATATGATTTTTAGACCAAGATGCAATATAATCAATTATAAATCGAATAGGATTAGAAAGTTGCTCTTACATTGTTTCTATCTTCATTTTAGTTGCAGGAATTTTTTCCAGACTCCAATTTGATAAATCACGGCTAAGAAGGTATAACATGACTACTCCTGGTGCATCAGGATGGTCTAGAATTTCCTCTAGCTGGTCAAAATATGATATATTACCTCTATAACATGCAGAGACATCAAAACAGACTATACAACAATCACCTATATCTATTTTAAGTAGAGCATCCTGATTACTTGTAGCCATATACCCAGCATAATCATTTATTCATATAGTTTTAAGACCCTTACGCTCTATAACTACCATTCATTCTGTTATGAGTGATTTGAGATGTCCATTAAATCTATGTCATTCCCCACTAGACATCCCAGTCTCATTCATAACAATAAGCTTTCAAGCTTGAATAGCACTATTAAAACACCCAAGAATTTTTTCTAAATCTGATGTTGCGAAATAGAGGTATGACCCCAAGACTTTATCACCAATAAAGTTAGTAATAATATTTTTTCTACATTGTTGCAATGTAGATTTTAGTACTAAGATTGTTTGGGGCTTATTTTCAGGCCTTTGCACCAAATATGCCCACCAGTTCCAGATATACTCATTAAGCTCTTCATTTTTATTACAAATTATATTCAATACATGCCAAAGAATTGGATCAATAATTTCTTTGTTAATTCCCATTGCTGGCTTAGCCAAAAATCCTAGGAAAAGGTTAAAGAACTTCGTATTAAGAGCTAGAGTATTTAGTGAATATGATAGAAAATTAATATTGCGATAAAGGATTAGACTTTTAGTAACTGCCTGATCTATTAAATTAATTAACTTCACCACCTCCCCATCTAGCTCAACTAAGTTAACTTCATATTTGGCAAGATCTAGTTTTGGCACCATATCAAAATATAGCCTACCATTTGTATCTTCTGTTTTAAGTACCCATAACTTTGATGTTGTTTAAATACAGGCAATTGTTGCCTGAATTGCATTATAAATTTCATTGCGTGAAAATTTCTGTTCAGATACATACATATCAATTAGATCCCCCCATACGAAGTAATCATTAGGATCTGAAATTCTGGATCAGTCTAGTTTTGTAAAACTTGGAAGCTTATGTTCTTGGTTCAAAGCAGTTTTGCTAATGATGAGCTTTAATGAGGGATTTTTCATTTCAGGTTTTGATTCTGATTAGCATGATAACAATAAAATTTATATGATTTTTTATTTCATATGAGATATGCATTTTCATTTGTATGCTCCCAATCACATAATGGACAGTGTGATAGAGAGTTGTAAGTTAATGAGAACAAGTCTGGAATGTTATTTAAAGGGAATGAAAGAGTATACCCTTCGATACAATTTTTTTTGAATAATGATTCCACAAAATCAAATTCTGCCTGAGTGGTTTCACTATTTGTACCATTACACCTTTTGACTTCTGGCTCTGCAATGTCTAATAAAGGGCTTTCTACGACTTCTGATTCATCATTGGAAGGATGAATCATGAAATCAAAGACAGTTCTATTTTTGGGATGTATTGCTTTTTTTTCACAAACATGTTCCTTTGTTTTTTCATTATATTTGGGTGATTCAAGCATTCACAAGGAAAAGGAACTTTTATTTGCAATATTGTCGATAATACTTTTCTTCTGTAAACTTGCTAAGAGTTTTTTACAAACAAGTTCAGTGAATACTGCAACTTGAGCAATATTTTTAAGTTTCATACCAAAAGTTGAGATATGGTACAATATTTTTTTTGCATCACTACTACTGGCAATAGTTATAGTTTTATGATCTCAGTTAGGGGAAATATCTTTACACACTTTTGCAAAAGCATGGATAAGTAAATTTTGTATTTCTTTTCTTGTAAGTTTAGGTTCAATGGTATCATATATCTCTTGGGGCAAATCAAAATCGATAATAGGATGAAGTGGCTCATCCTCATCAATGAATTCGTGTAAAGAATGGCCTTCATGATCTGAGAGTATGACTTCTATTTCATCCACATTGTCTGCACCTAGAAAATGCCTTGGTCTAACACTATCATCACGAATTTTATATAAGCATGCACCTATATCAGAAGCTCTTAACCCACAATAGTATGGGACGGGGCCATCCAAATTCTCTGAAAGCTTGGATTGGGTCATTTTTCAGATATGATAACTATATATATACTAAAACAGTATATATACCCTAACAAAAAAGTTTAAAATAAAAAATAATTATTATAAACACTAAAAATTAATTAGAGATAATATTCAATGGTTGGTGAATACATTTGCCAGTATTGTTCTAATAAAGGAAAGGTTTGTGGGCAGGTGTGTAAATGACAAGAGAGGTGCAAAATTCACTGGAAAAGGCGTTAGCGAATTCCTTGCAAACAATGTGGGAGGCCAACAGCTTTCATATATGGATTATATAATATGCATATAAATAAGTGCCATTCGAATACATATTATCACCGGAAGAAATTAGATAAGATGTTTCAGAGCTGGCAGACTCCAGAGGCAATGAAGCAGGCTCTTGATAAAATAAAAATACCTAATGTGGGAAATTGGCCCTAGAAACCAGAGGATTCATGCTTTAGTTAGAATGAGCGCACCAACTCATTAAAAAAAATTGTCTCTATAAAAACTATTCCTTGTACCTCATGAAAAATTTATAGGAATGGCAAAAAAACTTAACAAGGACATCTCAAGATAGCAAACTGGTATTTTTAAAACTCTGAAAAGCAATCTTTATTACTGTCACTATAACCCTATAAGTCTCTGTGAAAATTCAAACTTCTTTACTTTTTTTTTTTTTATAGCATACATCAACTATATATCAAACATATCTATAAGCATATACAGTTATCAAAGGTAACATATCATAAAAATCAAATTTTTTTTCTAGAACTTTTACATTTTATAAAGACTCATAAGAACATAGGGACAAGTAATAAAGAATAGATTAAATCAAACTAGGAATCCCAAAATTGATATCGAGGTTGTCTCTAAGGACATCCTTATGAATTTTTTTTTATAGGAACACATAGGGACAGCTAGTATTGTTGCATTATACCTCTAATTGACTAACCAAAAAAAGGTGCCAGGAACTGAAGGCGCAGTAAATTAACAATAATATTGGCCCATAATTTCAGTCTAATCTTTGGGCACAATAACTTGGCAACCAAGAAGTGATCTAAAACTGGCAAACTAATAGAGCCTTTCTGGTTCTCTACTAGTCCGCTGCCAGTATCATGATAGTTCTAGACACTATCAGGTCACTACTATGGTGCTGAGTTGGATCTTCAAAATATGTGTTCTAAAGATCTGCCAGAATTATGCTATAGTGCCAGGCAAATTTAAACACAGATTTACCATGCTACTCAACACAATATTTTTTATCACATTTTAATATTTTAACAGACAACCGAATAGGCACAAAAAGGTAAGCACCTCAATATAGAATCTGGCCAAGATGGCATCTAAGATTGTCTCCAAACAGACCAAGAAAGATAGAATTGCACATTTTCTCTTCTAATTAGTCAGGCAATCTGGAAAAGAGAAACTATGTACCTGGCCACATATCTGAGAATAGTTTCACAGATAATAATCTAGTTGGGACGGACATAATCTTTTATAAAATTCTAGACTATATCATCCTAACTAGATAACAATATAAAATTCTAGACTATATCGTTCTAACTAGATAACATTATAATACAACTGGATAACAGTCTTATAAGACTGTTATCCAGTTCTTTATTGTTAAAAGATGACAAAAAAATTTGTATTATTAAAAATATCAGATTTTTATAAACAAGTTCTAATTAATATTATTTATTATTAAATACAGTATAGAGTTAATAATTATTGCCAAACTCTAAACCTATTAGAATATATAAAATTTGTTAGCTTTTTAATTTAATTTTTTTATTTTTTGTTAATCAAGTAATTATTTAGTTGTGCAATAAAACTTTGTAGTTCTGCAATATATTTGGAAAAAGTTTAAGCATAATTACAATTGTGATTAAACACAATTGATTACAATTAACCTTATACAAATATAGTAAATTAATTTTATAATATAGTGAAATTCATTAGAAATTTAAATTTAATAATATTTTTGTTTAATCAATTTAAACACTCTTGCAGATCAAACTTAGATATTAATACTTCATTATAATGAATTTTATTAGTAATTAATTTTAAATAATTTCTTAATTAAAATATAATAAATTTAGTTTTAAATTTTAATAATATAGAATATATAATTTTAAAAGTATAGTTTAAAATAATAGTTATTAAATTTAATATTATTAATAAGCTGTTTGATTCATTTTATAAAATATAATATATCAGAAATAATAATACTGCCTATATAGTATAATTAAATTAGTAAGACTATTGATTATAATTGCTTTAGCTTTTTTAATTTAGTAAAGAAATTTGATATATAAAGTTTAGATTAGATTAATAAATTTGCAAGAGAGTATAGTAACTTAGTAAAATAGATAAATTATTATTTTTTTAAATAGCAAGTTAAAAGTTTAAAACTTACTAATAGTAAAAAATTTAGAAAACTATTTGTATTACAATAATTGTTTTTTATTAATTAATTAAAATAAGATATTTGTAATTATAATTATATTAGCATAACTAACAGTTATAGACATTTATATAATCTTAATTATACAAAGAAATGCAAACTAGTACTAGACAATACAAATTTAAAATAAGTTCTTATAGGCATATAAATCTGTAAACTGGAGAAACAAAAGTTTATTTAAAATAATCTAAATAAAGAAATAGTATAAACCTTTAATAATATAACTGTAAAAGTTATAATTAGAAAATAAATACTAATATAAAAACATTAAATAAGCAAAAATCTTTAAATAAAAAATATTTTTACAAAAATAAAAGTACAACTAGCCATATATACAACTTTTGGTTATTTATTTAAATAGTTTGCTCTAGAGTTTTATAATAAATACTATATCTATAATCTACTAAAAGATTATTTATTTAAATTTTTTTTTTTGTTAAAAGTTATACTTTGTAATAAAACTTTATTAATATTATTAAAGTTAGTTATTACACTATTTTATACAGAAATAAGAGTATAGCTAATCATATATACAACTTTTGGTTATTTATTTAAGTAGCCTGCCTTAGAGTTTTATTTTTATTTTTTTTGGTATTAAGATGAGGCCTTGCTCATATCTTTATTAGTAATTTTAGTTGTACATATTAATATACTATATAT